AAAAAAAAAAAAAAAAAGAGGGTGTGTGAGGTTGGGTCGGGGGAGGGACCCTGGCAGAGGGGCCTGCTGGGAGCCTCCCCTCCCCCACTTCCTCCACCCCCTGGCCCCTGTAAGGCCCCAACATTGATGAGAGGCAGGCTTAGAAGTTAAATCTGGTGGGAAAGCCCTCCAATTCAGGCAGACACAGAACATTTACCGGAGCCCAACCGGAAAAAAGCAGCATCAGTGAGGGTGAAACAGAATGGAAATCCTCTGGCTGATGCCATGAGGCTCCAAAAAGAGACCAAGAAAGTGAGTCACAAGGGAGAAGAAACATCCCAGCTCAGAGAGTGGGTGGGAGGCTGTCCTAGATCATGTCATATGCAGAAGGGCCACCCGGGAAGCATCTGTGAGCCACAGGACAAGTAAGCGTCACTGTGGTTATCCAGATTCATGTACCCACCGTGTGCCAAGCATGCTTGATTTTCCACCTTCCATCTAACTGTTACTTTCATTTTCAGTGATCGAGAGCTATGCCATTCCATTCATTCATCCAACACAAACATAACATTTGCAACAGCCCTACCGTCTATCAGGCACTGTGCTAGGCATGACAAATTAAAACAGTTACCTGTGATTTCACCCCAAAAGCATTTTGGTCAATGACCACAATAGACAAGGTGCTGTGCCAGGTGGATTGGGGACCCAAAGAGAAGCTGGAAGTGATCCTTGCCCCGAGGTTCTTTGGCCTCTGTTAGGAAGGTAACATTTAGTACATCGAAGCCATTGCTATGAATAACAGGTGTGGCCCATGTTGCCGGCATCTCACAGGTAGTCCTGCACTGTGATTCTTTCCTAAGACCTTCACGGAGCCTAGCACTGGGTGATGAGCTGCCCTGCTGGGACCCCAGCCTGTGCCCTCTGAACCCAGAGGTTCTGTAATTATTTATCTACAGACCCAGCTCCCTGTTGTGGATAGCTCTATCTTAACGTCCCTCAATGTGTGTATGCCTGGCCCAAAATTCAGTAAATGCTCAATGAATTGAATTGAATCATCCAAGTGAGATCTCCGGAAGTCATGCCCTAGCCCAAGGGAAGAAAGTGTGGTCTTAGCAAACTGCACCCCCCCACACACACACACACACTCTTCCTGTCTCTCCCTGTCTCTCAGGACGGGGATCCAGGAACAATGAGGACATCTGGGATCTCCCCATGCCCCATGCCAGCCAGGGAAAGGAGGTGGGGAGGGGGAGACAGAGATGGCAAGCTTCTTTTGAGTTCATTTCTCTATCTTTTCCTTGGGGGAAGTGGGCGCTTAGCCCACCTCCAATCCACTGAGCAGCCATTTTCGGGTTGTAGATGGACCGGGGGGAATTCCAACAAGACTCAGTACTGAAGCAGCTGGAGGTTCTCAAAGAAGAGGAGAAGGAGTTTCAGAACCTGAAGGTAAGAATAGCCACAGGCTGGAAGTCACAGCTGTGGAATCCTGACTTCAGCCCTGACGCCTTAAGGCCCAGATCCAGAAAACAAGGACGGGAAACGAGGAGGCCAGAGGTCACCTTGAGGACAGGTGCCTATTCTCTCTCTCTCTCTCTCCCGGAGGTGGGACGCTCACCTGCCCCAGGAGGCGGGAGAGTGAAGGCTGCGGCCCCACGGTCTTCCTCTCCCACAGCTTCCTCACAAACACCGTTTTTAAATTAAGTAGCCATGTTCTGGACAAAAACACAAAAACCCTTCAAGTTCGGCTTCTCCCCCGCCTTTGCCCCGGCCCGACCTAGTGACACGTGGCGCGTGGAGCGCCCCCTGCCGCATGCCCTCGGGCTCTCGCCCCCCCCTGCGGCCGCCGCAATCCCCGCCCGCCCCTGCCCGCCTTCCAGCCGCCGACCCGAGCCCGCCGTTGTCCCCTTCCTCCCCGTGCCAAGGAGGACCGCCTCGAAAGGCTGTGCCCGCCGGGTGACGCTGCTCTCGCTCTGGCCCCCTCCCAGGACCCCACCAATGGCTACTACAGCGTCAACACCTTCAAAGAGCACCACTCGACCCCCACCATCTCGCTCAGCAGCTGCCAGCCGGACCTGCGCCCCGCGGGCAAGCAGCGCGTGCCCACGGGCATGTCCTTCACCAACATCTACAGCACCCTGAGCGGCCAGGGCCGCCTCTACGACTACGGGCAGAGGTTCGTGCTGGGCATGGGCAGCTCGTCCATCGAGCTCTGCGAGCGCGAGTTCCAGAGGGGCTCCCTCAGCGACAGCAGCTCCTTCCTGGACACGCAGTGTGACAGCAGCGTCAGCAGCAGCGGCAAGCAGGACGGCTACGTGCAGTTCGACAAGGCCAGCAAGGCCTCTGCCTCGTCCTCCCACCACTCCCAGTCCTCTTCCCAGAACTCCGACCCCAGCCGACCCCTGCAGCGGCGGATGCAGACTCATGTCTGAGGATCCCAAACCGGCGCTGGGGAGGGC